CTATTTTTTTTTTTTTTTTGCTAACCTAAATGTCATTCAATGCAGCTTGTATGTTTGTATTCTTGACTTTACCAATCTCTGTCACAGGCGTCCATGGATTTGCCCTCAGTGGTAAATTTTGAGCCCTATAACCCTCGCATCAATGTGGAAAGTAAAGAGGTGATCGCTTATCATTCCTCTGCTGTTGCACTGAAGGAGTGGATCACCAGATTAATGGATCATCCATTAGAAAACAGAATCTATGTAATTAAACCAGGTGTGTTAGTGCAGAACTTATATAAATTGTGCAGAATGTTTTGATGTTTGTATACAGCAACCCCACACATAGTCTTAGTGCATGCTAAGAGTATTGATATACATATGTTTTTACAGAGTTTGAGAAATCTGTTCTTGGTGCAGGTGAGATTGTGTTTTGAAATAATTGGTGTGGAAATCTAAGTAAGAAATCTGGGACATACTTATCATCTAAAGCATTTTTATACAAGTGATTTTGTTGCCAGTTATATGTTGTTGAGGTTGTTATAGGGCTGGGTGATGTGGCAAAAAATAAAATCTCTTTTCTTTTCTTTTTTTTAGAACATTTGACCAATTCTCGATTTTTATTTATATACAACATGATTTAAGTAACGTAATTATAAATACAACATGATTTAAGTAACATTTATAATTATAAATAAATTTTGCCACAATTTTATTTATAACAAATAAAATTGTGGCAAAACAGTAAATTCGAATTAATCTATAAAATCAGAAAAAAATCACCCAGCCCTAGTGCCTTATTTTTAATAAAACTGCTGCCAGAAGATTTTAACCACTTCTCTAATCCACTAGGTCTAGGAAACCAATTCCCAGTAATCCGAAGTGAGACTCCTGCCTTCCTACCAAATTCAAGAGGCATGTGTAAGTTGCAACTTCCATGCAACTGACTGGACTTTTTTTGATTCAGTATAACCTATACCCATACATCCATCCATTCATCACTATTTTTTCTCATTCAATTTTAAATCATTCTTCTCCCAATATGTTTCAGCACATATGAGATTTCCCAGTCCAGATCGCGGTCCCAAAGCCAACCCTTCAGGAGCTAAACAGAAAATGTCAAGTGAGTCAACTGCTTATATGTTTTGGAGCCATAAACAACATAGATTAAAATGTACACCTTCCTCTCATTGTTCTTCTTTATTTCTTGATAGGCAAGAGTGCTAATAAAGATCAGAAGGATCACAAAGAGCGTAAAGACCAGAAGCCAAACAGTAAGTTCTGACCACCCCTCAATATGTTCATTATTTTACAACTGACTATTACTGTTTGTCTGATCACTGCTATGTGTGTTGAACATATTCACACCTCGTGATTGGGTTAAAAAAGGAGGAGCCTGTTAGTAATGTATCTTATGTTTCACAGAGATTTTGTCAAAATTGTTCTGAAAAGGAATGTGGATCAAATTAATATTTCTTAAAAAATTATTCTAACATTATATGTCTTTGCCAGAATCTAGGAATCCCTCTAAAGGAGCAAATTCTGTTTTCTCCAAAAGCATGGAAAACTTGCTTGACATTGCAGTTAAACCTGTAGACATACCTGACATAAGTATGTAGAAAAGTTCTTGTTTATTCATGTCCTCCAAAATGTAATCTTTACTGTAAGGGGTCTGTGCTCCAAAACTACACAATTTACTGCAATTCTAGAATAGACTGCAGATTCTACTCTAGAAGTAGAAAAGCAATTTATCAGACCAGGTGTTTTTAAATTATTGAATGTCATGCAGGGCTGCAGTTCCCACACAACAAAGTAGTAGTAATTAATGTACATGTGTACTCTTCAAAATGGCACTGATTGTTGACAGACCAAAGTATATAGATTGAAATGTGTGTGCGTGTGTG